ATATTAAAATTAGCTAATAACAATTCTATATAAAAAGACTATATACAATTCAAGATGATGGTGGAGGGGAGCCGTGTCAATGATCCCACCAGCCAGTTCCAACTATGTGAGCCCCCATCAGGCCCCCAGGCCATCTGGCATAGCCATGTTTTCACACTTTTCCAGAAGGCCAGGAGAGTGAATAGAATTTCTCCAGGAGAATTGGTCCCTAACCTGGTCCTTCAGGTCTTCCAATGGTGCACCCATCACTATTGTTGGTTGTCTTCTTCTCTTCTTTCTTATATATCTGTATAGCAAGTTTTTAAAACGTGGTTGGGTTAGCACCATTTTTCTAAAGCGGAGGAATCTTGTGTCTGCACAGCTGAGAAGATGGAGAGATGGAGTGTTACAAACGCCACCTACTTTGGGCTATGGCTCCATCCACCATGAGCTGTTCCAAGCTGCCATTAACTTTTCCCATAAGTCAACGGCCCTTTATAGGGAAAGAGGACCCCTTCCCTGCCCCTATTCAAAGTAAGATGGTGGGGCCACCTGTCTCCAGCTCCTTAAAGGCTGTCCCCTTCCCTTGCTTTACAGTCCCTTTTGGAAGAAATGGCAAGCAAGGATAGAGAAGTTCACAGAGTCTCTGCAGAAGCTCAGCAGTATCAACAGGCCGTGAAGGTAAGGAGTGGTGTAAAGGAAGGACCCAAAAAATTAAACCCTATTTCAGAATTGCACTGCATAGGTGCCTCCAGCATTTTTTTAGGAGTTACACCCTCTCTCCTCTCCCCAGGACTACGAACTGGAAGCAGAAAAGCTGAGATCCATCCTGGATCTGGAAAATGGCCGTAATGGTTTCATGAACAAGAGACCAAGACTCCAGTCTCCGGCTGCGAAGGTGAAAGAAGAGGTATGTTTAGTAGTGTTGTTCCAAAAAGTCGAGCAAGGTACTCTTGGTGTAGGATCAGTGGCCACCAGGTGGGGAAAAGGCAGCATGTGAAGTTTAGGATGGGGAAGTCTTTGAACAAGACATCTCCTCCGCCGCCGCCTCCTCCTCCTCCTCCTCCTCCTCCTCCTCCTCCTCCTCCAAAGCCTTGCTCCTTCCTATCTCCAACCATTGCCTGTGAAGCCAGCCCTGCAGGAGCAGTGCCAGGATCAGGTTATTTTTTCTAGACATCTTCCCACTCCTTGGAATGACGCACAGACAAAGACAGAAGTTGATCTTGCCAGTGGTTCTTCAACTGGGGTGAAGAAGATGGGAATGGTTCCTACTGTTTTTTTGGATGACTTCTCCAATGGGATAATAACCTGCCAGATAATATAGGGCCAGACAGTGACAAATTCCTTCTATTTGCCCTACATGGAGCAACAGTTGATACTGGGGCCTACAGAGAGGGCTGTGTCTTCCCAATAATTCTGGCTCAGAAGAAAAGCATGTAAAAAAAAAATATATATATATATATTTTAGATGCGCATTTAGAAATAATACTGCTGGGTAAATATGTGTTTCAAATATAGTCACATGCAAATTTCTGTGCATGTTTTGAAAGCCAGCCAGACACACGTAGAAATGGCCAAACCAAGTATATAGATAAAGGCTTGCAAAGGCAGAACTGGTTGGTTCATTTCTAGGTGTTATCCTGCAAAAGTGGAAAATGTACCCTGGAATGATGTTTCGTAAGATATTTGCACTCCTTGAGGAGTGCTTTTATGGCTCTTCCTGACCAACTCATCTCAGAGCCTTTGAAAAACCTCAGCATTTAGTTTCTTCCCCAAACTGCAGCAAGTTTGACATTTGCTTGACAAAAACTCTCCATAAAAGAGTTTGAGAGCCAGTTTGGGGTAGTGATGAAGGTGCTGGCCTTGAGATCAGGAGAATGTGACTTCTAGGCCTCCTTTAGGTATGAAAGCCAGCTGGGTGACTTTGACCCAGTCATTCTCTCTCGGCCCACCCCATCACACAGGGTTGTTGTGGTGGCAAAAATAGAAGAGGCAAGAGTATTCGATATGTTTGTCACCTTGAGTTGACAAGACACGATGATGATGATGACGATGATGATGATGATACCATCGCTTGAAGACCATCGGCATTGACAAAATCACTGTCAATTGCAAAAGGCAGCTTTACTCAGAACAGCTGACATTCTGCAACAATCCCTTTAACACCATCAAACAACAACATCTGCCTATCCCAGGTCCTTGGGAAGGACTCGATAG